TGATGATGATGATGATGATGATGATGATGATGATGATTGTAATAGTAATAGTAATAGTAAAAATTAGAGTCTAGTATCCCCCCCCCCAGGGCAATGCTACTGACCGAAGCGTCCTTAGGCAATTCCCAAAGGGGGTATATTAATTATGTTCTTATGCACAGTAGAATTGTTAATGGGCTGATTTATCAATGTCATGCTCATACTGTGCCGGAACAACATAGAGGGATTGCTGCTTTTTCTTTCCTCATCCTTACTATCGTCATTTTCCTCTACTTCTTTTGTATTATGTCTCTCACTGTCTTGTGAACTGCTATTACCGGGGTGCCTTGATAGTCGACGCAGACTTTGTGCTGTTGAAGCTAAAGAGGTGAGCAGAGTAAGCCCGATTCCCCGTCTGGACCTCTCAGTTGACATCCACCCCTTGGCGCCCATATGACCTTATACGCCGTAAAACCTTACTCAAACTAAAAAGAGTTTGGTAGAGATTCCCATTTTCCCTATTTTCCTGTGTAAACCTCAAAGCATTACTGAGAAGAAATGTCACACACATCAATATTATTATGCAGCTGACAAAAGCAGTTTGATGCACTCTTCACAGCTCAAGGAGCATACATTAGGGGGCTTCAGTGGCTAAGTATGTAGTGAGTTTAGAATCAAGTAATGTCAAGCAAGTGTCGGTTACACGGGGATCAGATGGGTGGTCACTGGGGTGTGTTCTCGAGCAAGACACGACAATCCTAGCTCAAAACACTGTGCGCTGCACAGTGGCGACCGACAGTTGCATGGTTGTAAACTGTTCTGTTTTTGTGTAATATGGGGTATGTATGTATGTATTTATGCATGTATTTATGTATGTACGTATTTATAATTATGTATTTATGTATTTATATGTGTGTTTGCATTGTAAAAAAGTGCCCTTCTGGGACAAATAAAAGTGTAATTTACTATTATTTATTAGTATTGTAGGCCCCACAGTTCTTAATGTATACAGCAGACCCAATTATTTGCAGGTTATTATTGAATCATTCAATATAGGCAGGTATTTACATACCCGCCTGCTGAGGGAAAGATGTGATTAGGGAAACAAAGGAGGCCTGAGTATGTTTGGGAGAGAGAGAGAGAGAGAGAGAGA